AGATCCCAAAGCCAGTACAGCCAGTGGACAACTTCAGACCATGTTGCAGCATCACCACTCAACCACCTCCAAAGCGGGCCCCCGCACAGCTGATCCTCCACAGTGGTCACACTCAGTTCTTGCAGCTGATCAGCCAGGGGAATAAATCCCTCCCTTTGACATGCCAACAGCAATCAAGAGTCAACCACCTCTTGTACACCCTCAAGAGGAGGGTATACAAGCCCACACATGGGGCGCACCTTGAGCACAGAGCTTAGGTGACTGGGGAGGCTGTGCCACTGGACCCTAAAGGACACCCACCACATCAGGTCATTCTACCAAGCCTCAGAGATATACTACCTCTACCTAATACATAGAAATAAACACAGGGAGGCTGCCAAAATGAGGAGACAAAGAAACACGTCCCAAATGAAAGAACAGAACTCCAGAAAAAGAACTGAACACAATGGGGACAAGCAATCTATTAGATGCAGAGTTCAAAACACTGGTTATTAGGATGCTCAAGGACTCACTGGGTACTTCAACAGCATAAAAAAGACCCAGGCAGAAATGAGGTATACAGTAACTGAAGTGAAGAATAATTTACAAGGATTCAACAGTAGAGTAGATGAACTGAGAATCAAATTAACGATTTGGAACATAAGGAAGTAGAGAAAAAATCAGAACAGCAAAAAGAAAAAAGAATTTTAAAAAATGAGGACAATGTAAGGAGCCTCTGGGACAACTTCAAGCGTGCCAACATTTGCATCATGGGCATGACAGAAATAGGAGAGCAAGGAATTGAAAATCTATTTGAGAAAATAATGACTAGAAACTTCCCTATCCTGGTGAAAGAAATAAACATACAAGTTCAGGAAGTGCAGAGAATACCAAAACAAGATGAGCCCCAAAAGGCCCACACCAAAACATAAGTAAAATACAAAAGGCCAAAAGTAAGAGAGAATCTTAAAAGCAGCAAGAGAAAAGCAGTTAGTTACCTACCAAGGAGATTCCATAAGACTGTCAGCTGATTTCTCAACAGAAACTTTGCAGGTCAGAAGGGATAGGCAAGAAATAGTCAAAGTGATCTAAGCAACAACCTATACCCAAGATTACTTTACACAGCAAAGCTGTTATTTAGAATCAAAGGACAAAGAACTTCCCAGACAAGAAAAAGCAATGAAGTTCATCACCACTAAACCAGTATTATATGAAATGTTAAAGGGTTTTAAGAAAGTCAAAAATATAAACAATAAAATGGTAATAAATACATATCTAAATTATTAAATAAAAAATAAACAGAATAGAAATAGACATAGATACAGACAACTTTTGACACATCAGATAGGAGGGGATGGGGAATGAGTTAAAAAGGTAAAGGGATTAGGAAGTAGAAATTGGTTGTTAAAGAATAGTCATGGGAAGGTAGAGTCCAGCATAGGGAATATAGTCAATAATATTCTAGTAGCGATGTATGGTGTTAGATGGGTACGAGATTTATGGGATGATCACTTACATATGCAATGTCTAATAACTGGTGTGTACACGTGATACTAATATAATAATTATGCTAACTATAATTGGAAAAATGATTTTTTAAAAAGAAGAGCCTTTTCTGTAATAGTCTCTTTTAAAATAAGTCTTTTAAAAAAAAATACACATCACCTGGCTGGCATAGCTCAGTGGATTGAGCATGGGCTGCAAACCAAAGTGTCACAGGTTTGATTCCCAGTCAGAGCACATGCCTGGGTTGCAGGCTATGGCCCCCAGCAACCGCACACTGATGTTTCTCTCTCTCTCTTTCTCCCTTCCTTCCCTCTCTAAAAATAAATAAATAAAATCTTAAAAAAAAGAATGCTTAAAAAATACACATCAGAAAATATTTTTGCTATTAGTAACAACTATTAATTAGTTTACTATGAGTCGGGGACTCTGCTAGATATCATATATTGTTTCCTTTAATCCTTCCAACCAAGTAAACCAAAATGGTAGGTATATGCCTCAGTTTACCAATTAAGAAATTGAGGCTGATAATAGTTAAACAAATTATCCAAGATTAAACTAATAAGTGGTAAATCCAGGATTCAAACCTGGAATTATATGGCCATCACCAACTATATCACACTGCCTGTAAACATATATTGATTCAATAATATCTACCATTTTTTTGACTTACCAAATGTTTGGTGATGTGTTAAATAGTTTACATTATTTCATTCAAACTTCTCAAGTTTCTATGTGAGTCTTCATTTTACCAAGAAGGCATTCACACCATGAGATGTTTCAAGGAACATGCCAAAAGGTCACATGTGTAACAGCAGGAGAGCCAGGATATGAACCCTAATACAACTCCAAAGCTTCTGCTGTTTTAATCTAGTTCACCTAACATTCCCCTGACAGAGCCTCCCATATAGGTGGATTTCTAACTCACATACGCACAATTGGATGCATACTTCAATTGTGGTTAGTTGCAACTACCTGACATACATTTTGATATTAACTTTATTAGATTAGCATGCTGTATCAGCTCATAATAAGCTTTAATTTAATTCAATACCCCAGTCTTAAATTTAATTTGAAATTAAATCTTGTCTCTAAACCGGTTGCCCCTACTCTAACCTTAGCTGATTTTGAAACTAAGTGTACATTCAACATTCTGCTTTATTTCTTTATTGTAACATATACATAAAATTTACCATTTTAACTATTTATAAGATGTGTATTTCACATTAAGTATATTCACAATGTTGCACAAGCACCATCACTATTCACTTAAAGAATGTTCTGCTAAATTTAAACTTTGAGATTCCATGTTGTAGTAGTTAAATATTAAGTGCTATATGACCAAAAAGGCTAAAAGAGAAATTTTTGTGTGTGTGATGACACCATTGTGTTTGTGTTACTCATGAAATTGTATTAAATAGAACCTTGAAAGAGCTACCAAAGATCTCCTTCCAGGTCAACATGTATAATTAATGAAACACTCTTTAAGTGTCAAATGCCTTGTACAAACAAGAACATTCTAAGTCTATGCCTTTCCCTCAGTTCATAACCATCATTCTTCTATGGACTAGTGATTCTCTATGTAACATATGTTTATACTAATAACTTCACTCTTTAGCTTCCAATGACTTATTTTTTGATTAAAGTATACCTTTTTCCCTAAATGTTTATAAACCATTTTAGAACATCTCTGAACATTTAAATTTTAAGTCTCTTAAGCATCAAAAGTTTTTTTTTAATTTAATGTTGCTTTTGACAGTAATTTGAAGTTGGATTTGTCCAGGCCTTGATTAATATTTGGTATTGAACTGAATAACCTCAAATATAAGAAAATGTTAGAAATACACAACAGAAAAAGTGTACCTTAATAAAAAACTAGATACGAAAACATTGTCTAAACTCTTCAGGGTTTATTTTGAGACTCATTTCCTACTATCCTAATGGTATTAACAAACAGAATAGATGGTGAGGAACTTGAATTTAACAACCTGGAAAACCTTACAATGAGTTTTGTAATTGAAAAATATACTTTATAAATAAAGGCTGGTATGATGTTAACATCATTTTCTCTTTTTCATTTTTTGATAAATATAAAAAACTTAGATGACATGGACTTGCTTATCTAATTCTTAGGCTATAAAATAAGTCTCAACACACAAAAAAACAAGGGCAAACTTTCAAGAGACCATGAAAAGAGTACTATTTTATACAGCAAGTATATAAAAAGCACAGAAAGGCTAAAAAGTCTAAATTAATTCACTTTTTTCCCCCAGCAAGCTTTATGAATCAATTACGGATCTAGTGACGTCGTAGTAGACACCATGATTTCATACCACTGAAGAGTAAACAAAGGCCCGCCCAGAACACATGTCCAGAGCCTCTGTCACACTTCAGCAGAACCAAACCACTACCGGGCTGTGTAACCTGCTGTCAAAGTCTTCACAACCCTAATCAAAAGCTTCAGGGAAAGTGGAAATACAGTAAAACTCAAACACTGTTCTCCTAGTGCCTCAAGTAGTTTATTGGTAGTTGTTATCCACATTTCTATAAATATAAACATTCTAAGTGACTGTCACTAGTGCAGGTACATTTAACATATGAAAGCTCCACAGGGAGCTACTTTATTTTGTGTGTAACAGGAATCAAGGCTCCAAAACTGTGCCAGAAACAAAACAAAACAGAGTAAACAAACAAAAAAAACCCTTGCTACCAAAATGAATTTCTTTTGGTTACCTTCATTACAGATAACTAACTGTTGGCTTAACATATAGGAATTATGTTGATTTGTTCATATATGATCACTGGAAGTTAGGTCTTTGCCTGTAGGTAAGAATTAGATAAAGGTTTTTCCTCCTTTTAATTTATAGCATTTTGGATTCCAATGTAAACAGCACCAGTGACTTTTCACAAAACATAGCTTTGCTACTTTCCCCTTCATTTTCAATAATCCTAATTCTTTTCTGCAGTACTGTATCATTTCTTCCTACTTATAACCAGGGCTGGACTGCCTGTGTAACACTGTTCAGTTTGTAAACAAAAAATTAAAGCTCAGAGCATAATATACGGTATCTCTTACATTTTCACTCCACAGTGCCTCGGGTGCTGTTTATGAAGCTTTTGCTTCTCTCAAAACACTACAAATATATATGAAAAACCACATCTGTGTTTAGCCAGCAAATATTAATAAAACATTTTACAACTGGAATGCTTTAGAGACCATGTATTGTAATTACATCCTCTTGTCTGAATTTATCAATTGCTTTCTTCAGAAATCCAGACATACATCCAAACATATGCATTTATGATTAGTCTACATGCCCAAACTTACTATATGAAAGAGTTAAGTAAATTATTTCAGGTTCTCCCAGTGAAAGTGCTTCTGATAACAAACTATTTCTAAATAACCCCCCCCCCCCGAAAAGGTATATTAAACCTGTATAGAAAGATGTATAGCTATTCCTGAAAAGTAGAAAACTACACACCAAAACATGCTTCATCAGGAAAACTAATCCATGCACTTGAATATGCCCCAAGTACTTTATTATTTTAAGGGAGAACAACTTAAACATTGTCTAGAATTCAGATATAGCATTACATTATTTTATTGCAAAAAATGTCAAAATTCATTTGGCTAAAAACTAAAAAAACAAAACACTTCCTCCTTGTCCCTTACTGAGTGGACCAATGTGATCAATATAACTGTATATATATTAATCTACCTTAACATTTCCATTCATTAACATTTATCTTAACATACATACAAAGCCTTGTAAGCAATTTCCTTGTGAAGGCATCCCCCAAGAAGACATACGCACAAAATACTAGACAGATAATCTTCTTCAAAGTTTTATTTCACTAACTTCAGGTCAAATTTCCACAACTGTTTTCTGGTCAATTTACTATCTTTGCTTGGCTTCCCAAAATGGTAGTACCAAAAGATTTGTGGGGTAGGGAGAAGAGACCATTTTAAGAAGCACTGCATTTACTCATCTTCACAAGGCAACAGAGTTGGGCATCTGACTGTTCAGAAAAACAAAGCTTTAACAGCATCCAGGAGGGCAGGCAGGCAAACCAGGCTGTAGACACTCTTCCATTTGTCAAAATCAGACCACAGAAAACCTACTCCACACAGATATGAACGGCATCACCATTCATCTTTTCTTTTTCTGCTGCCGCAACATTTTTCTTCTTTTAATTATCATATCATGTAGTTTCTCAAGTCCTTCCTTTAGTCCATCTCCTATGATTGCACAGGTGGGCTGCAAATGCCAGGGAGTTGATGAGCTCAGTTCACCCATTGCTAACAATTTCTCAATTTCTGAGAGAGACAATGAGTTCCTTAGGTCTTGTTTGTTAGCAACTATAAGTACAGGGACTCCTTGATTTTCTGATATCCTAGTTATTTTATGAAGTTCAGTTTTTGCTTCTTCCATCCTTTCAACGTCAACAGAGTCCACAACAAACACAATGCCATCTGTGCATCTGGTATATGACTTCCACAGTGGTCTTAATTTCTCCTGACCACCTACATCCCAGAAGTGAAAAGTGACTGTTTTAGAATTTCCCAAGGTTACCTTAATTTTTTCGGTGTTAAATCCTTTGGTGGGTACGGTATTTACAAATTCGTTGAACTGCAGCCTATACAATACGGTTGTCTTTCCGGCACAGTCCAAACCAAGAATAACAATGTGGTAAGACTGAAACGAAGGCAGGCTGGACAGGATAGAAGTCTGGTCTGACAGTCCATTCCCCATTTCCAGTTTGCAACAAAGTGTTCCAAATTGAAACGCTTTCTTCTTACTGCTTTACAACTTCTCCTCCTAGGGGATCCAGCTACGAGACTGCTGAGGGGGGAAATGAATAAGTTATTCTCGTGAAATAATATATTTTTCCCTCTTGGTGCTAAAATACACAACACGAGGAACTTGATAAATAAAACTTGCTTCGGTAAACAAACCAAATGAGATATGAAACGTAAGCAATCCAAGTCAAACGAGAGAACAATCATTGTGATTCAAATTCTTTAACATTCTGTCAATTTGTAGTAATGCGTACTTTTCAATACCCTTTTGAGTTCCCAAGTCTCAAAGACCCAATTCCAGGTCACAGTACCCACTCAAGTGCCTTTTTGGGGGCAGAAAACTCATAAGCCATAATCTTGTAATTAATCATAAGGCTCTAATTCCACATACTTAACAGCATGCCCAAGGTCACTGGTAACCTCGTACCTTGCCCCCACCCCCGCAAAAAACCACAAGGCTCACCTCCCGAACTGGAGTCTCAAAATGAGAAAGCATTGGTAGGCGTTTCCACCCGGTGGGAAGAATCCCCGCACGTCCGCACAGCTTAGCTGTCCAAGGAGCTCTGGCACTTGATGCCCTAAAACCGTGGTTTCAGACTCCAACCACGCCCACTCCTCACGGCCCACCCATGAGTCCAAATCCCATTGGTCATCCGAGTAAACTCATCCGTGCTAGGCCCGCCCCCGCGCCCTAATCAGTGAGAGTAACTGCCGCTCCCGTGCGGCGGAGCCGAGCTCTCCCTAGGTCCACAGGCACCACCTGTTGCCCTTAAGTTAGAAAACAAGGCGCCCACGGAGGGAGCCGAGCGGCCCCGGCAGAGCAGGGGAGCCTCGGCCGATAGGTCAGGACACCAGCCCGCTTGCTCCGCCCGCCTGGGCGCACCTGCAGCGCGGGCCACAGACGCCGCGCCGCGGCTCTCACATCCGGGGCCCACGGTCACTGTCGGCAGTTTAACTCTTTGTCCGCTGGCGGGAGGGAGCTCCCTGCGGCCGTGCGGGCGCCCAGGCGTGAACTACCCGACCCACGGCAGCCCCGGAACAACCCCACAGTCCCCGCAGCAAGATCCCTTCAGATCGCCGCGCCGCGCTCAGCCAGCCAGTCTCCCGCGACAGGGCGTGGCCACACCGGCTGCCTTCCCCGCGGCGGCTCACCTGACGAACCGTCCAAGTCTCTTCCAGACCCCACATCGCTCACAGCCGCTCTGGAGGGCACCAGCTAGGCCTGGACGGTGGCAGGGGCCCGGACGCCGCTTCGGGAGGCGCCGGGCGGGCGCCCCGGGCGAGGCCGTCCTAACGGTGCTTCTCCGACCGCTTCCCGAACCTGCCGCGGCCCCGCCCCCTTTCAGCTTTGGTTCCGGAGCCGGCCAGTGGGGGGCGTACGGGAGCCAGGTCTCCTAGCAACCACAAAACAAGGTCACGTTCGATCCCGTCAGGAACTGGCGGGTAGCGGGCGAACTGGGGTGGGGCTTCTGCTTTCAGCCAAGGGAGCCGTTGCTTTCTGCAGCCAATAGCTGTCTTCGGTCGGGCTCCGGGTGTTCCACTCTGAACCTTGTATCTTTAGGGCGCTGTAGGGTTTCCTAGGGGCGGTGGCCGGTGACGCAGGTCAGGGGTTTTAGAGGACGCGTGATGGGCGGTCCGCTTATATAACGGGTGACGTGTAGGTGCCTCTCACCCAACTGGTGTCTGAAATGCACCTTCCTTTTGCAGAGCAAATAAATAGTCTCTCTTTCACATGATCCTAGCAACGTTTCTGTGAGGGGGCTACGGATAGAAATATCCTGTTTTTATAGATGAGGACATACATTGAAAAATTAAATGGCTGCTTCTAATGTCCCAAGGAAAATTACTGGTGGTTCTGGAACTTAATTTTGTAAGTCTACTGACTTATCAAGTGCATAATACCTTCCAATGGATAATTCAGATTAAATGTTATTATGTACTTGACCCATCAACTTGCAAATATTTATTGAACACCTAATAGGCAGTAGGAACAATTCTATGTGCTTGGGTATAGAATGGTGAGCAAATGCAGTATAAGGCTTGCCTTAATTGTGGAATCTCGTTAGCCATTTACAATAATCATCAAGCAAGTGATAACGGGCTTATTGCAATGACTTAGTCTCCTTTTCTTGGGAATTTACCAGGATTCATTACTAAATTGGAGAAAGTATGATCCAATGACAACTTTCTGTTTGTAATAGCTTTGAAATCAAGTAGGTCCTTCCCACATTAGTTTCAGGGATGCATTTTTGCAAACTTTCCTGAAACGAAAGGGTGAGATAGGAAAATATTGAGAGCTTCCAGCCTGACAAAATCATCTTCACTCATTGCACTTTAACGTCAGAACCAACCTTGTAACTAGAACAGAGGATGGTAAATTAACAGCCCGTGGGCCAAATTCAAGAGATAAGAATGGTTTTTACATGTTTAAAGGGCTGCAACAGAATAGATAAGAATATGCATTACAGACCATCTGTGGCCCACAAAACCTAAAAATATTTGTTCTCTGGCTCTTCATAGGAAAATGATACTTCTGCTCTATAAGCAATAACGATCATATAAAACTGCTATAAATGATACAAAAAGTGATTAAATTTATGAAACACTGTCTATTTTATTGCACAATATTTCTGTAGAAGGCCCATTCAGATATTTTATTTAGATGCTACGCCAGGAAAATATTCCCGTTAGGCTATAGTGCAACTCTGCTGAGAAGCTCAGGGAACTCAAAGGGATTCTTAGTTTAACTTTTTGAGGGGAGCACAAGTGCCATCTGTTGGAATCTTTAAAAATTACAACTATTAAGGTGTCCGGGTCTATCTACACTAAAGGGAACCATGCAGTATTTCTTTTGGCCTGAATCACTGTGAAAAAAAAAAAAAAAATGACTGAGACACTAGGGACTCGGTGAAACTCTGTCCTTACTTCTAGTTTTCCAAACTTGGCTTATAATGAGAATCACCTGGTAGTGCCTGTCAAAATATAGATTCCTGGTTCTCATTAGGGACCTGCCAAATCAAAATCTTCAGGGGAGGGGCTAGTGATCTGTATTTTTAACAAATATTCCCAGGTAATGATTAGACATTCTGAGGAAATGGCTAAGTTTTCTCCTTTCAAAACAAACCTGATTAAAAATTAGCAAAGAAACTGAAGAGATATTTTTCCAAGGAAGACATAGAAACAGCCAACAGTCGTATGAAAAGGTGCTCAACATCACTAATTATCGAGAAAATGCAAATCAAAACCACAGTGAGATATTACCTTAAACCTGTTAGAATGGTCATTATAAAGAAAGAAGACAAGAGATAATATGTCAGCAAGGACACAGAGAAGGGGGACCCTTGTGTTGTGCTGGTGGTAAGAAAGCAGCATGGAGTTTCCTCAAAAAATTAAAATACCATATGACCCAGCAATCCCACTTCTGGGTATATATTTTAATGAAATGAAATCAGTCTTGAAGAGATATATGCACCACCAAGTTTATTGCAGCATTATTTATAATATACAAGACATGGAAATAACCTAAATGTCAGTGAATAAGTGGATAAATAAGTTGTGAGGCTATATATACATGATGGGATATTATTCAGCCTTAAAAAAGAAGAAAATAAATTTGCAAAAAAACATGAATGAACCTGGATATCATTATGCTATATAAAACTAGTCAAATACAATACGCTATCTATATCTGAATTTTTTTAAAAATTTATTTATTTTTTTGAGAGACAGGAAGGGAGGGGGAAAGAGAGGGAGAGAAACATCTATGTGTGGTTGCCTCTCACACCCCACCCCCACCCCCACCTCCAGGGACCTGACCTGCAACCCAGGTCTGTGCCCTGACTGGGAATCGAACCAGTAACCTTTTGGTTCATAGGCTGGTGCTCAATCCACTGATTGTACACCAGCCAGGGCCAAGGTACAATTTTTGACAAGTCTGTAAAAAGAGGATGTCAGAAAAGAAGTACAACCCAAAATTCATTTAGAATGACTCCTAGATAAGAACCCCCGAGGAACATGTGTCCAAAGCCCTCCTCCTGAGGTCCAGCTCCCTGCAGTTTGAAGTCACAGGACCATTTGTCTCTTCCTCTGGAGGTGGAGGGCTTTTATGTGCATCTGGACACCAAACGCCAAGAGGCCCAGTGGTAGAAAGGTGTCATACAACATTCCATACAAGGCCTACTTTCTATGTCCCCGATCCTGGTCTTGGACCTGCCTCTTCTGGAATGACTGACAGAGAGAATGTCCAGTCCAACAGGGCCCCAAAGCAGCTATTACATCAGAGCAGATAAGTCCTGATTCTTCTCAGTTTAACTAGCATTCTGTGCTATATTTGATTTCAACAGTCCAGTTCTGTCCAATCCTTTTTCCATTTCTATCTTCTATCACAAACATTTTAATCATCTCTGTCACAGGTTTTATGTCCTCTTGTTGGAGTGTTCCAAGGCTCAGTTTTTAGGTCTTTACTTCCCCTTAAGTAATTCCCTCCAGTACCAAGTTTTTAAAAATCCTTTACTCTCCAATATTTGTCTCTAAACCTGGACCTCTTCCCTGAAGTCCAAAATTGAATATAAGCACCTCTAACAACTCCTAAACAGACCCCTATACTCAGCATTTCTCATCCTATACATTGGCAACCTGATTTACCTATTTACCCAGAGCAAGAATCTAGGAATTGTCCTCAAACATCAAATCTAATCATCAGCAGGTTCTGTGGACACACATCCAAATATGCCGACTTCTTACCACTCCGCTGATGTCATTCTAGTTCATGTCCATTGTGTCCCTTGTCCTCGGCTGTCTTCTCTCCGCTTCCATGGAGAAAGCCATTTCCCTGGGCTCTTTCCTGAGTGAGGCCTTCCCTGAATAGCTTATCTAAAGGATCCGCCCTGCCCTCCCTTCTGTGCTGCCATTCTCTATCCCTTACTTCCCTTTTTTTCTCTTCCTAGCACTTGTCACGTGCGGTGTAGTGTGCATTGGTTTGTGCCCTCACTAACTGGCCCCTTCTTTTCCATTAGAAGTTCTAGCAGGCAAGGATAATGGCAATCGTGCTGCACCTAGCAGGAGCTCAGTGGATTTATTGAATGAGCGTTAATATCCCAAGAATAACTGCTCAAACAGGAACCCACGGGTCTCCACAAAAACAAGTAATAATTTTAAAGAAACAATTTCATACAGAAAACAAGTGACTTGTAACGTATTTATTTTTAAATTGGCAAAAATTCCTGTAGAAACAGGTTTGAATTCACTTTGTTACAAAATAGAATGCTTAGCTTCTCAGTATAAAAATATCTGCATTACACTTAACAGTTATTTCAGTAGTCCCAAGACTAATCCTCAGGTACTTTCTATGTTTTTATAACTAATGTGATTTATAACTAATGTGGTCACTGGTTGGGGTCACTGGTTTGACTCCCAGTCAGGGCACATGTCTGGGTTGTGGGTTCAGCCCCTGGTCAGGGTGCGTACAAAAGGCAACTGATAAATGTTTCCCTCTCACATTGATGTTTCTCTCCCCCTCTTTCTCCTTCCCTTTCCTACTCCCTAAAAGTAAATAAATAGAAATCTTCAGAAGGCATTTTTGTTCTGACTTTGGCTCTTGTTGCACAACCTTGTTTGTTCCTGATAATTAATAAAAGCCTCTCCTCACCCTGTCTTCCTAGCAGGGTGGGCTCACTGCAGATGTCTGCCCCCTCTTCCCTTGTGCCAGGACCACTGAGGCTGCTGCAGAGATCCCAATCAATCATCGAGTTATGGCTGTAGGTCCTGTTTGGAGCACCAATACTGCAGCAGAGACCAGAACAATAGTGGCTGAAAAGCAGAGGTGATGGAAGACTGGCCATATCATCCTGGACTGCTCACAGTGTTTAGAAGTAAGTTTGGCTGTTTGAGTTCCCATAGTAATAGCATCCTTCAGGGAGAGCAGAGAGTCCCCAGGAGAGACACTGGTCTTTCTGCTGACCTAACATTTGATCCTGGGGTGGCTTTATTGTAAAAAATAAGATCAGTGACCTTATTTATACCCATGCTCTTGAGGTGAGTCATATCAATCACAGAATAGTCATCAAAGTTGTTATTATTAGTAGTAGTATTATTAGAAGGCCAATCTCAGATCTGTAGTTTAGGAAGATTACTCTAGAAAAAAAATAAATAAATAAAAAAGGCAAGACTAGAGGAAGGACTAGTTAGGAGGCTTGGTAAGACTCCTGGTCAGAGGTCATGAAATTCCAGAATAAGACTAATAACAGAAAAAATGGACTGAGGGTGTTAATGTACAAAATTAAACTGAGTAAATTTAAAGATCTAATCGGCTTTCTTCAGCGATCGTGCATCTGGTAGCACACCATCCAGCATCTAGAAGGCGGTCTGAGGGGAGGGACTGTACACATGGAAAGTTTTTTCTTGTTTGTTTTAATCTTTAAAGATTTTTTTCATAACAAGTAATGTGGAATATTATATTAATTTCAGGTGCACAGAGTAGTGGTTAGATACTTACTCATATAATTTACAAAG